GCTGAGGTTTGAATTCAGGTCCATTTGTTCCAAAGCCTAGCTGTTTTGAAGGAAACAGTGGATGTAGAACAGGTGTACGCTGAAATAAAAAGGGAAGAACATGAGAAAATCAGTTTTGGGATATTACATACAGGTACATCAACTTGGGACAGAAGGCAGCAGTTGACAGGGGCCAGAAGTAAGGTGGGAAACGGTGGGGGATGGAGAGAGAGAACTGGTAGTTTGGGGCTGAGGAGAAGGTCTGGAATACTCACCTCAGGTTACAAGCGAGGATTTATTTCAATGAGAGGTAATCGTGGACTTGCCAAGCAGGGGGGAAAAACAAATTATATTTTGAGAACCAAATCTTAGAGTAAGCCAGTACTCAAGTTGTGAGACTTTCTCAAAAAGCATTCTGCTGCCTGGAAACAACAGAGAAGTAGAGACAGTGGACATTGTAAGCAGCCAACTCAGCCAACATCACCAGGAAGATACCATGGGCTTGACCCTGTGTCCGCCTCCACACATAGAGGATGAAACGACAGGCACGATCCAGTCAACATTGTGGGAAGTGGGGAGGCCTGTTTATGGCTGGCCTCAGTTAGGGGCTGGAGAGGGTAGAACTGAAACAGCTGAACAGGAGGTGGTCACCGACAGTGAGGAAGCTTGAATGCTCAAAGGTGTGTTCATCCTGTGAACAAGGGATTAGAGTTTGGAAGAGCTGCCGAGGAAGGAGAGAGGAAGTCAGGAATTGAAACAAAGTGAAAGACTATTCAAACTTGTCTGATTGAGCCGGTCAGGGTAAAACACACCAAGAGATGTGAGAGAATCTAACCCAGGCCAGGTCTTTTTCCGGGTAAGGGTGCAGGGCAGCTTTGGATGGATATGGGTATGTTCTGATCCCTTGATAAGGTAGAGTACTACAAAGAACAAAGACTTTGGAGACAGCCGATCCTGGAGCTGAACCCCGCTCTGCCACTAGCTAACTGCTCAACCACAGGCAAAATATCAATGTCATTGTGAGTCAACTCATCTAGAAAATGGAGATAGGCATAATTATGAAACTACCATATTTTGGGAAATATATTTTTATATATAGCATATACCTGTGTATACACTAAACACACACCCTCATACACAGAGAAAGAGAGGGCTTAGCATATAAAAATGCTAAATAAATGGTAGCAAACTTAGGTAAATTTTTCTCTTGAAAACCTTTAAAATTTACTCTGGAGCAAACCTTTCTCTTAAGTAGATAGAGAACAAAATTCTGAATTCTATTTTGGCCTAAGAAGTAAAAAAACAAAACAAAACAAAAAAACAAAAAACGATTTTCAAACCCGATTAACTTGCCCAAGTTATTTGTTCACTTCTTCAAATAACCTATGCTTTATCTGACATATTTTTACATAATAAAAATCATCCAAGTTCTCTTTAAGTTGTGAAGCCCTAAATTAGATGTACTAGTCTTGGGAGAAACTATTTAATAGTCGATCTTGTATTATCTTGCATTACCTTTCCCCATGTTTGCATTCACCTTGGATATGCTTATAGGAACAATTACTGTTCTATATGCTAATTGTGTTTCACAAGTATCGAACTGGATTGTACACCACAGGTATCCGATCCTTCTTTCATTCTCCTCAACCTTAGGAATATCTGATCACTATGCTTAAGAAGCATGAGCAATATTTTTTAAAAATCTGGGCCAGGCATGGTGGCTTATGCCTGTAATCCCAGTACTTTGGAGGCCAAGGTGTGTGGATCAGAAGGTCAGGAGATGGAGACCATCCTGGCCAACATGGTGAAACCCCGTCTCTACTAAAATACAAAAAACTAGCCTGGCATGGTGGCATGTGCCTGTAGTCCCAGCTACTCGGGAGACTGAGGCAGGAGAATCACTTCAACCTGGGAAGCAGAGGTTGCAGTGAGCCGAGATCGGGCCATTGCACCCTAGCCTGGCAACAGAACAAGACTTCATCTCAAAAAAAAAAATCTTTTGGCTACATTACATCCAGTCTCTGTTTGTACATTATGTCTCAGGTGAATACAAAGAACAATGATCATTGAAATTCATTTGTTAATTGTTGACTCCTTTCAACAAAATTTTATTCAAAACTTTTTATATCAAAGCATAACCAGGTGCAATAAGAAATACACATGAGAAGAATACATGGTCCCTCGTACAGCAATTGGGCAAATGTTTCTTTCTCCACCTGGGCTCTGCAGTGTATGTGGAACAATCTAAACATTTCTTTCCTTAATCAGCTAGAGAGATGAAAAAAAAGTCAACTAGACCTTCTTTTCCCTTCTTTGATATTTGAGATATTCTTGGAATGGTATTTCATTGCCCTTTGGTGGAATAGCTCATGAAGCCAAATAATACTTTGTGTAAACTACAGACTTTCCGAAAGGGTGTGTTTGAAATTTTTGACTCAGCTAACTTTCGTCAAGTTAAACATTGAAGATTAGGATGCAATTTGAGCATTTGTAGAAAATTTGAACAAATTTTTGCAAATTAAGGATTCAATAAAATTTATTATAGTCAACAAGTTTTTGGGAGCTTTGTGATGTATATCCCCCAAATTAATTTTAAAATATTATTACCAGGCGGGGCGCGGTGGCTCAAGCCTGTAATCCCAGCACTTTGGGAGGCCGAGGTGGGTGGATCAGGAGGTCAAAAGATCGAGACCATCCTGGTCAACATGGTGAAACCCCATCTCTACTAAAAATACAAAAAATTAGCTGGGCTTGGTGGCGCGTGCCTGTAATCCCAGCTACTCGGGAGGCTGAGGCAGGAGAATTGCCTGAACCCAGGAGGCGGAGGTTGCGGTGAGCTAAGATCGTGCCATTGCACTCCAGCCTGGGTAACGAACGAGCGAAACTCCGTCTCAAAAAAAATATATATATATATATATTATTACCAAACAGGAGGAGTTGGTGTTCATCCCAAGTTCATCCCAGCCTCTTTCATAAGTTCTCTCAGATCAGCCTGAAGGGTTTATTGAAAGCATTCAGGTACACTAAGTGCTGTCCCTTGTCTTTCACTGGAGAAAGCTGAGACTTGGACAAGTCTACAAACCAGATTGAGACCATCAGTTTATCCAGTGGCGGTATTCAGATATGAAACCAGGTTTCTTGACTCTATTTTACTTGACATTCTTGGATCTTGTTTTAACTTCCTGTCAATTCACAGCTTATTGTTGAACCATGCCCTCTCTGACACAACCAGTAGAATCCTATTTTTCTCATTCTCCTGCTTGCCCACAAATCACCATCATATAGATTAATTTCAGAAATATGTTTCTAAAAGGTTAGTCTTTAAATTTCCCCAACTTCCCACCAACTCCTTTTAGCTCCTCCTGAAGAGCCAGAATATTGTGAAGTTTCAGAGCAGGGGTGGAAAAGAACTGGGTTTTGGTCCCAGTTCTACTATTTGTTAGTGACGACAGAAAGGTACTTAATAGTGATAGTAGGTTGCACTGGTGTCCTGCAAAGCTTCACTCTCTTCCACTCCTACCATGGGGGCTGTATTTTTCTACCCCAGTGATACTAGGTTTGGCCATGAAATTTAATTTATTTATAATAGGTTTATCAAGGGGAGGCTTTAACCTGAATGTTACCAACACAGAGTTTCAGTGTTAAACCTACTTGCCTAGTTTGATTTGGCCTCATGTTCTTTTGCCATCAGTAGTGAGAAAAGCAAGCTCTGGGGAGCTGCTAGCCCTGTAATGAAAGACAACTTAAGCAAACCTAAGCTGATTTGCAGCCTGGAGCCTGCCTAGCCAGCTGATCCCAGTTTAGCCCACAGAGTCAAAAGTATAACCCTAGCCAATTCACAAATTTATGAGTGAGAAAAACTGATGCTTCTTGTAAGTCATCAGGATTTGGGGTTGTTTGTTATGCAACATTAACATAGCAGTGGCTGATACCACTTTTCTGTGTCTCAAATTCCTAATCTGTGTCATGAGCTAATATTTGTATTATACTCATTTCCATAATGTTGTGAAGATTCATGGAGATGATATATGCAACATGCTTAGGACATTACCTATCACATTGTAGAAAACAATATTATTCATTGTTATTTATTACTGTTTAGTAAATCATGCCCTTCCCAGTACTAAATACATCATTAAAACATGTTAATATGCTTATATCACCTGGATATAATAAAGCAAAACCTTCCAAGGGAGTAGGAACACATGAAATATTATGATAAAGCTGAACTCATCACCATTGGTTACACTGTCCCAACTCCCCAAATCTCTGCTGGGTTAATGGATGACATGGGCACCTTGGTGGTTAGCAGGTCTCTTCATTCTATAAAACACCTTAGCTCTTCTAGCTATTCCAGCTAAGGTAGATTAAGAAAGCAGATTAAGAAAGTGGCATTGAGCTCCTTTTCATATACTTGTTAGTAATTTTTATGTAATTTTTGGAGAAATGTTAGAAATGTCTGCTAAGTTCTTTGCTTGTATTTATTTATTTATTGAAACACAGTCTCCCTGTGTCACCCAGGCTGGAGGGCAGTGGCACAATATTGGCTCACTGCAGCCTTCACCTTCTGGGTTCACATGATTCTTGTGCCTCAGCCTTCCAAGTAGCTGGGACTGCAGGGATGTACCACCATGCCTGGCTAATTTCTGTAATTTTCGTAGAGATGAGATTTTAGCATGTTGTCCAGGCTGGTCTCGAATTCCTGGCCTCAAGCACTCTACCTGCCTTGGCCTCCCACAGTGCTGGGATTACAGGCTAGAGCTACCCCACTCGACCCTTTGTGCATTTTTAAATTGTATTATTTGGTTTTCACTATTGAGTTGTAAGAGGTTGATGTGTGTCACCACCCAAATATCAACTTGAATTGTATCTCCCAGAATTCCCACATGTTATGTGAGGGACCCAGGGAAAGGTAATTAAATCATGGGGCTGGTCTTTCCCATGCTATTCTCGTGACAGTGAGAAAGTCTCATGAGATCTGATGGGTTTATCAGAGGTTTCCATTTTTGCTTCCTTTTCAGTTTTCTATTGCTGCCACCATCATTTTCACCTCCTGTCATGATTCTGAGGCCTCCCCAGCCATGTAGAACTGTAAGTCCAATTAAACCTACTTTTTCTTTCCAGTCTTGGGTATGTCTTTATCAGCAGTGTGAAAAGGGACTAATACAGAGTTCTTGATAAATTTTAGGTATCAACCCATTATAAGATTTGTGGTTTGCAATTATTTTTTCCCAGGCCATAGGTTGTCTTTTCATTTTGTTGATTGTGTCCTTTACTGTGAAGAAGCTTTTAAGTGTGATATAGTCTTATTTATTTATTTGTGTTTTGGTGGCTTGAAATTTTGATGTTATATCCAAAAAACATTGCCAAGGCTACTATTGAGGACCTATTCCTCTATGTTCTCTTTTAGGAGGTTAATGATTTCAGGTCTTACATTTGGTTTGGCTTTTTTTCACCTTCATTTTGAGCTGCTTTTTGTGTATGGTGTAAGGATCCAATTTCATTTTTTTTGCATGTAGAAATATAGTTTTCACTACACCATTTATTGAAGCAACTACTCTTTCCCCATGATGTCATTTTGGTGCCCTGTCTAAAATTAGTTCACCATATATGTCTGAATTTATTTCTGGGCTCTCTATTCTAGTCCATTGGTTTATGTTACTGTTTTTATGCCAATACCATACTGTTTTGATTACTATAGTTTTGTAGTATAACTCACATCACTAATCATAAGGGAAATACAAATTAAAACACTATGAGATATCACCATACAACTCTAAGAATGGCTATTACAAAAAAGACAAGCAATAACAAATGGTGATGGTGTGGAAAAAAGAGAACCTAGTAAACTGTTGGTGGGAATGTAGATTGGTACATTCCAATCTACATTCAGTATTAAACATGATATTTCTACATGTAGACAGTAAAAGAAAGTATTAAATTTCCTAAAGAAATTATAAATCGAACTATCATATGATCCAGCTATCCCTCTTCTGGGTGTATACCCAAAGAGATGAAGTCACTACCTTGTATAGACATCTGCACTCCCATTTTCATTGCAGTATTATTCACAACAGCCAGGATACAGAAACAACCTAAATGCTCATTGATGGATGATTGGATAAAATGTGATACAAACACACACACACACACACGAATATTATTCAACCTTAATAAAGAAGATCCTGCCATTTGCCATGCATGGATGAACCTGGAGTATATTATGCTAAGTGAAATAAACCAGAAACAGAAAGAAAAATATTGCATAATCTCAATTCTATGTGGAATAGTAAAAAAACAGAACTCAAACAACCCAGATAGAGAATGAAACCATGGTTACCACAGATAAGGATGGGAGAGAGAAAATAGGGAGATATAGGTCAAAGGATACAAAACGTCAGACATGTAGGTAGAAGAGGTCTAGATATTTAATGTACAACATGAGGAGTAAAGTTAATAAAATTGCATCATATTAGGAATTTTTGTTAGATAAGTTGATTTTAGCTGCTCTTGTCACACACACTAAGTAACTATGTGAGATGATAGGCAGGTTAATCTGTTTCACTGTTTTAACCATTTTACTGTCTCTGTATCATGTTGTAAACCTCAAATATAAACAATACAATGTAGCTTTGTTTTTTTTTTAATTGTGGTGTCAGTGACTAGAGCAGACACACTCAATGCCCAGCTGGTACCTCCTAGGCTCACCTCCGAGTTTCATGTACATTAAAAGCTTTGTCCCTATGACACTTGGATATCTCTGCTTCTCAGCCTGAGGTCTTTCTCTGGTACCAGGAAAGCTTGTTCAGAAGTGAGAAGAGCCTCTGGGGCAGTCCTCAAGCCTTGAGAGATGGGATTTGGTGAATTAGTACATTAGCTTTCCTGTCCCTCTACGAGACATTTTGAAGAGTATTTCATTAGATCCCATCAGGCTTGAACCTCAGTTTCCTACAATGGCAACCTGTTCATGGACATACCTGTATACAGAAAAAACAGTTTCTCCTTCTGTACTCACAGCACTTCCAATATTTTCCTTCTGACACCAGATGAGTGAGTTTTTCCCAAACCAAGCAATTCTGACACCACTCTTCTGTCCTAAAATTTAACTAAATTTTGACACTCTCTACCAGGAGATGGCATCAGAGTTCACAGGTTAAAGGCTCAGTCTCATAAGATTGCCCTTACTTACAGATGCCAATTGCAAGTAGTAGGTACTCAGATTGCCAACTACTTCTGTTGGACTTAGCTCAGATTGGAGGTTCCCAAAACACCCTCCTTGGCTTTGAGAATTTGCTTGAGCAGCTCACAATACCGAGGAACTGTTTACCTAGTATGGCTGATTTGTTACAAAGGATGTTTTAAAGGACACAAATGAACAGTCAAAGAGGCCTATGGGGTGAGGTTCAGAAGTGTCCTGCCCAGAGGAGCTTCTGTCCCTGTGGAGTTGGGATACGCCACCCTCCTGACACAGACGTGCTCTTATTCACCAACCCAGAAGTTTCCTGAACCCTCAAGTTCAGGGCCTTTTGTGGAAGCTTTACCACATACAAGTGGCTGATCATTAATTCCATTTCCAGTCCTTTTTCCATCTTCTGGAGAATAGGGAGAGGGGCTGAAAGATCCAAGCTTCTTGTCATGTCTTGATCTTTCTGGTGACCAGCCCCTATCCAGGAATCCACCAAGAGTCACCTCATCAGAGCAGAAGCTGCTCCTCTCACTCGGGAAATTTCAGTGGTCTTAGAAGCTCTGTATTGGGAACCAGAGTCAAAGACCAAACACTGGAAAAAAAGATACTTCTAGCACCCCTATTTAGAAGGGTTTCAGAGGCTGTATGTCAGGACCTGGGGCAGAGGCCACTTTACATATTTCTGATTATTTCATAATACCTTTACTTGTTTTTGTCCCTTTTTTGCCTTACTTTACCCCCTCCCTTAATTATACTTTCTTGAATGACATCCCAAATAAGCTGCCTAAATTGAAGCCCCTTTCTCAGGACTTGTTTTGGGGAGTACTGATCTCAGAAAAGTGGCTTAACTCATCTTCCCCCCTTATGTCCACCTGCCTGCTAGTCTGACAGAAGGACCATGGCAGACATCAACACATAAATGGAAAATCTGGTAATAAGCTTTAAGTACATTTTCATTAATTTTGTAGGTAATGGAAGCCAGTGTTCTTATTTGAACAAGGTTATTGCTTTAGCAGAAAGGAGCTGTTTCACCCAAGGTTATGTATCCTCTCCAGGGACAGTCTGCAACAAATGACTGGTTGACGTAGAAGTTTAAAGCTTTACCTCACTTGCCTCAATCTGGCATAAGTCTGAAGGGGATTTCCAGCTCCAGACCCCTCATAGGGTTGGAATCGCCTGAGGCTTCTGTTACAACTGCATCACAGTTCAACTTCCTCTGTCTGTTTCTGGTTCTCTTCCTCCCTTACAGCCATCATCCCCAAGATCATTTCCCAATAGAGGCCCTGTGTAAATCTCTGCCTCACTTTCTGTGCCCAGGTGTTGCTAGAAATGGTCTTAGGAAGTAGATTCTGAAATGGGACTTTGCAGCTGGATCCTGCACTGTCAGATGGCCACAAGGACTCTATCATAAGTATTAAGTGGGGTGCTGATTACTTCCTGGCTTGTTATTATGTAGTTGTTAGCAGAATTGGTAGTGAGCACTGATGGGATACAGAATTGGTAGTGAGCAGTGGAAGGCTGGTGCAGCATTTCAGGGATTCAAAAGGTAGAGGTAAAATAGTCATTGTAGACCATGGAATCAGGTAGCTATTGCTTTAAATTGTTCCTGATTTAGCCAATGGAACAAAATGGAGATTTCAGAAATAGACTTATAGTTGGCTTTTTTAAAAAAATGAGATGGAGTCTCACTCTATCGCCAAGGCTGGAGTGTAATGGTGTGATCTCGGCTCACTGCAACAGCTCACTGCAACCTCTGCCTCCCGGGTTCAAGTGAGTCCCCTGCTTCAGTCTCCCAAGTGGCTGGAATTATAGGCACGTGCCACCAGGTCTGGCTAATTTTTTTGTATTTTTAGTAGAGACAGGGTTTCTCTGTGTTAGCCAGAAAGGTCTCGATCTCCTGACCTTGTGATTTGCCAGCCTGGGCCTCCCAAAGTGCTGGGATTACAGATGTGAGCCACCGTGCCCAGCCAGTTGGTTGGTTTTCCCTTAACAGAGGTGCCAAAACGATTCAGTAGAAAAAAATTCTTAAGACAAGTGGCTCTCAAACAACCAGAAATCCAGGTGTATAACCATGTACCTTGACCCTGTCTCATGCCATACACAAAAGTTGGTTTAATATGAACCTTAGACTTTAATATAGAATCTAAAACTGCTAAGCTTTTAGAAGATAATATAGGACAGTAGCTTAGGGCAGATATCTTAGTCTATTTTGTGCTGCTATAATAGAAGACCTGAGACTGAGCAACCTATAAAGAACAGAGTTTTATTTCTCACAGTTTTGGAGGCTGGGAATTCCCAGATGAAGGCCTTGACATCTGCTGTTGGTCAGGGCCTTTTTGGTGCATCCTCACGACAGAAGGTAGAAGGCCAAGAAATGGGACAAATTCTCTCCATCAAGCCCTTTGTGGAAAGGTGTCTAACCCTATTCATGACAGTGAAGCTCTCATGACTGACTCACTTCCCAAAGGCCTCGTCACCCAATACTGTTGTACTGGGGACTGAGTTGTATTATGAATTTTGGCAGAGACAAAAACATTCAAAGCACAACAATAAGCAAGGATTTCTTGAATAGGATAAACAGCAATAATAATTTTTAAGAAAGAGAAATTACACTTTCTCAAAATTAAAAAACTTTTGCTTATTAAAAGACAACAGTAAGAAAATAATTAGGCAAGCTATAGGCTGTGATAAAATGTCATATATTTATGTTAAATATAGGCCTTAAATTCAGAACATACAAAAAATAATTCGACTTAGTAATAAAAAGTTTGGGAAAAGATTAGAATAGCTTAGATACTGCAGAAAGAAACATGGTTAAGAAACACATAAAAACTCATTGACATCATTAGTCATCTGGTAAATGAAAATATAAATCACAATTGGATACCACTCCACACCCATGAGAATGACTAAAATTGTAAAGACTATCAACCACAAATCTTGGCAAGGATTTAGAGCAGGGCGTAAAATGGTATAAGCACCTAGAATATAATCTGGCAGTTTCTTATAAAGTTAAACATAACCTCTATGACTCAGAAATTATACTGCTAGATATTTACCCATGAAAAGTGAAAGAATATGTCAAAAAACACTTGATTGAAATATCATAGCAGTTTTATTTACAATAGCCAAAAGCTGGAAACAACTCAAATGTCCATTAACAGAAAAATGGCTAGGCCAATTTCAGTATATAATACTATTCAACCATAAAGAAGAATTAAATACCTATCTATGCAGCAACATGGATGAATCTCAAAATCATTATGCTGAGGGAAAGAAGGAAGACATGTCAAACCACATTGTCTATGAAGATCTGGAACAGGCAAAACTAAGTGACCGTACAGTGAAAAAGATCTCAATAGTAGTTTCTTCTAGACGTAGAAGAGGTTACCTGGGAAAGAGCACTTGGGGACTTCCACGAGTGATGGAAATATTTTCTATATTGATATGGGTCTGATTATATGGATGTATTCACTTTTCAACTCATAAAACTATAACACTTAAAACCAGAGCATTTCAATATGTATAAATGACACTTCAATGAAAGAGTTAAAAAATGTTAGTATACCAAGGACCTTTAAGAAAAATTTGAATACAGACTTTCTTGAACTTGATTAACTTTCACATTCTCTTTCTTTAATTATTTGCTGAGGGAATTATCATATTGGAGAGTGCCTTTATATGAGTAAATTACTGTTAAAAATTTCAAATCTAGAAATCCATTCTGATAAAACAATTTAAAGTACAGATCAGTATATATGTGTGTGTGTGTATATATATATATGTATGCAAAGTCATTTATTAAAGTGTTGTTAAATTATGTTTATATTAAATGAAACAAAAAATAGTCAAAAATCATGGCACATTTATATAAAGAACTATTTCACAACTAAAATATTAAGCATTATATAATGAAGAAATATTAATAAAAATTTTAAAATACTGTGTAATACAGAATATAGACTTGCACAGATAGCAATATTTTATATATGCAAATAATATGTGAATGGGAAGCTCGGCAAATATGCATCAGATTGTAATGACAATTTCTGGGATTATCTTATTCTTTTTAATTTTATCATATGTATTTTTACTTCTTTTATAATCTGAAATAAATCATAAGAGTTATAGAGTTTTATACTAAAACAAAGATAAAACCTAATAAAAAGCCCTGAGTCTTTTTCTTTGCTCTTCTATAGCCACTCAACTTTGGACAAATAATCTATAGAACCATGTGGGAAACCCACTAAGCTTTCTCAGAAATCAACTGCTTAGTTGTTGCAGAAAGAGGATACTGAATTAGATTTCTTTTTCTGTCCTGATGAAACTTTTTCTTTTCTCCCCTCTGGCTTTTCCCCCTCTCTTCTCTCCATCCTGCTCCAATTCTGCTAGTCTGTGAACCATGAAGAGCAGTGATGCTTTTTAGGAGATCCTAGCAAACATTGATATCACTAACATCCACGCCATTCTAGAAATACATTTAATTTGGCTCCATTTCCTAGTCTGCAAACTTGTTTTAATCAAAATTGGAATCAGTGTGATAAGAAGTCAGGTACATCTCAGCCCCACTGTTTGGCATTTTGCTAAAATTAAGTGAGCTCTGTACCCTGTAAGAGATCTCCTTTCACAAGAAGGGTTTCGGTAAGCCTGCAAGGCATTGGCACAGTGATTACTGTAGAAAAATAATTGTTAACATCAAATTAGTTTGTGAAAACCAGCGCACTGAATAACTGCATATAAGAGGAGGTGAAAGAGAGTGAGGAAAGAGGAAAGAATGTCAAAAGTATTTCCACAGGGTATTATTTTATTTATCCAAAAGCAAATCCGAAGGTTGCCACAGGACAGTGCACATAAAACAGGTCTGCAAAGGGAATCTCCTACAAAAAATGCTGCCTCGCCCACTTCACTGGCAGTTGAGTTCACAGTAGAAATACATTCAATTCCACATAGTAATAGTGCTTTAATAACAGATGAAAATATGTTTTATGGTGTGTGTTGATAACTAAATGCTTATCCTATATATAGAAATTCAAATAATTGGAATTTCTCATAGCCAGCATCCAGTTGAGACCACTGAAGAATACCTTGATATAGAAGGTTAAAGTCAATAGACTGTGTTTTGGTTATTTTTCAGAAGATGTCTGCTGTATGTTTAATATACTATATTTGTATTATGGGCTCTGGTTCCTGTAAATCTGAGGTCTCTCTTTCTTGAATGAATGAGGAGATAAGCAATTGAATTTGAAAGATACTTTATGCAACAGAAAAGCAATTTTGTTCCTGGTTATCAGAGGGCAAGAAGTGAACTAGCAATTTAATGCTAAATATTTTTAACCCCTGGGAATCTGGTTTGCTTTGAGCCCAATAAAGATTATATTTTTTTCAATCCATCTCAGCTTATTGTGTTTCATATAACAGAGGAGTATTTTGTTACAAATTTAGTCAATTTAAAGTAATTACCTTTTATTCTTACTGGGTTTGGATTTGATGTTACAGTATCTCAAATTTCCATTTTTAAAAGGGAAGAAGGAAGATTTCTATTCCTACCAGTGAAGACTCCTGAAGCGTGGGATACTGTTTTGCTCTTACAAAGGTCAGTTCATGATGGACTAGTATTGGTTTTAACCATTATTCATAATAGTCTCTGAAATGCTTGGTGCTTCCATGGTAAAGTAAAAGAGGCTGCTGGCATTTTCCTGTTACATCTCATGGTGAAAATCTCTTTGCCTGGTTCCATTTGTTCTCCCTAAATAATTTTTAAAAGAATTATATGACTTAAAAATTATTTGATTTAAATTCTTTACTCCTGAATCTTTAAGAATTATAGTACTATAGCGATGATTTATGGATGTATTTTTTATTCAATGTTTTTGAAAATTATGCCAAAATGTGATGCTATTTGGGTTAACAGTTGATAGCACACTTGTGGTGGCCAGACTCTAAGGTGGGCCCCAGTGATCTTTACCTTCTGATGCCAGTGTCCTTGTGTAGTCCTTGTCCATAATACACTGGAGTTGGTCTTTGTGATAGATCATATGTGGCAGAGTGAGGTTCAATCCTGTAAGACATTGCCACTTCTGCCTTGATCTCCTGGATCACTTACCATGTCATGAGGATACTCATCCCTGTGGAAAGGTCTATGTGGTAAGGAACTTAGTGAGGCCTTCTGACAACAACCAGCACTGGTTTGACAGCTATTAGAATAAGATGTCTTAAAAACATATTCTCCCGTTAAGCCTTCTAATGACTAGCTAACCATTATGACCATAACCTCATGAAAGACCCTGAACTAGACTATTAAGCTAAGCCATGATCTGATTCTTAACCCACAGAAACTTTATAAGACAGTAAATCTATACAGCTTTCTAGGCCACTAAGTGTTGAAGTAATTTGCAGGCAACATCAAATAAAACTATACTGGAAAGAACATCTAAAGCCTAAAGCCTTAATTCTCACTTGAACAGAATTTTATTAAATGATGCTGAAGATAAGAGTAACTTTGGGAGTTGGACATTGTAGCATAACTTTAAAAAATCAGTTACTGCAATTAAATTTTTTTATTACCAACAAATATTGCTAAGGACAACTCCTCCATGGTTCTGCTGACATAAACTGCATATTAGTTTATACAAGTATATTTGCCTCAGTATTTTATAACTATCAGAGTTTGATCTTGACTCCAGAGTCATTAGAGACAACTGTGTGTTGAACCAAATGTTAGAATCCTGACATGTGATTTTGAGAAAGAGGAACCAAAAATGGTAGACTTTTCCAGGAATTGTTATATAGGGAAGGCAGAATTTGGTGAATAGTATCTATTTCCCAGATTGGGCTCTCCCCACACTGACAAAGCTTTTCCTGCCTCTCAACATTAGCATAAATTTAAAAACCTACAAGAGGCAACACACACACACACACACATACACACAAATTAAGTATATGTCACAATAGCGCAACTGAACACTATTTGTGGAGCCATTGCTGTATGCAGTCCACTCTGCTGTGAATTTCAATTAATAGATGACACAGAATCTACTTCCTGGCACATACTGTTCCATGACGTTTAAGACTCTGACAAGCAATCCTGGAGATGGAAGCCGTAAAATTCCTGCCTACCCTACACTCTTTGTCATTTAAAGTACTAGTAGATCCCTGAATTCTTCCCACTTAGGTCTGAGGCCATCTGTTTGGAGACTAGGTCTAAGACTGTATCAGCAGACCTGCCACAGAATTTTATTTCTCGCTCTTGTTCACTTAGCCCTGCTGTCCTGGTATTCACTGTTGGCATGATCTACTGTCTCCTCTGATGCCTTCATTATTGGTTGACCTACCTCCTCCTCAGTTTTCTATTCCTGGTTTAATTCATGGAAGTAAATTCTATTAATAAGACAGGGTTTCTACCTTTAAGAGGTTTATAATTAAGTTGAATAACAAGTGTGACAAAGGAACACACAAATGTTCATTTTGATTCCTGCTCCCCAGAGACGTCAATTGTCCATGAGTCAGCTCCACTTCCTGCTCCTCTGGTGTTGGGGCTTCTATTGTTAGGAGAGTTCTTGCCTGCTCCCTTATGGGTTCCAGGACCCAACCACAGTTGGCCAGTCATAATCCATCAGACCCGGTTTGTTCAAAATGAATTGCTGATGTACTCATAACCAATTTCATGAGATTTATAGTTCAGTTAAGAAGGCAAGACCTGATAGGAAAAATTGAAATAATAGGATGTTTTAATGCTCAGTAATAGAACAGATCTTATGAGACACAGGACATGATTTTTTAATGTGATATCATGGACACTGATTGTCACAGTGTACAAAGGAAGATAAGATTCTTTGAGCTGGATCCCCGGAAAGGGCTCTTCAGAGGAAGTAGTATTTTGAGCTTGATCTTAAATGCCAAAAAAGATTGAGATGGGCCAAGTGGGGAGGAAATTGAAATTGCATAAACAAAAGGAGCAGAGTGAATGCCTGAAGATGGCAGTGTGCAGGGTCTGGTTAGAGGAGCCTGAACTGAGTAGGGGGAGAGTTAGGGAGAGGCCTGCAAAAGTATTTTGGGGCAGGTTGTGGGCATCAAACAAGATAATATATGCAAAATGGCCTTGTAAACTTCAAAGCATCCTAGAAATATGAGAAAGTATTATTATAATTTCAGAAACTGTGGTGGTTGCCAGTGAAATAATATTTGACTTAGGGCTTTGTTATTTCTTTCAAAGAAAAAGAAATGTAAAGATCATTGCTTTGAATAGTTCCTCTCCGTGTTCCATTGCCGGTAGCTATCTCTCTCTTTTGTTGGACTTCTTTTCAGCCATCTTTAGTACAAATGGTGAAACTGAAGCAAAACTTCAATGCTTTGCTCTCTACTTCCTTTAAAGGTTCCTTATCTCTTTAAGAGTTTAGACTTCTTTTATAACTGTGTCAGCTGCAACTCCCAGAGGTCCTGCCTTGCCTCCAGGTTTGTTTACCACTCAGCAGGGATTTGTTTACTACCTAGTAGGAGAAGAGTCAAGAAGATAAAAGCCAATCAGGGAAGAAGAAAGACAGTACCAGACAGAAAATACCAAGAAAACAAGATTAGAAACACTAGGCCCATGTAAAGTTGACTTTAGTGATAGAGTGACCCTGGGAAGCCTGCTGAGTGCCCATGCTAGATCACTTTATTGTGTAGGTTATTAGAGACATGTTACACCCTCCGAAACTGCACTGTGCCTGCTGAACATGAAACACCCGTTTAAACTTAAATGTTTTTCCAAAAGTACCCAAACCTTTAAATCAAATTTGTTTTCCTTTAAGTTCTCAAATATGCATGTTTCTGTTTTCCAAAGTTTAGGTCGCTGGTCAGATTGAATTTGGGGAAATGTCTTACTTACGCTGATGAATATTATTTATTTAATAATATAATCATTTACCATGATATACAAAGACAATAATGTTTTTCTTTAATATAGTCCCTTGATAACTGAAATTCATACTGACGAACTTGAGGTGCCATGACATCCTAGAGTAAATCTGAATTTACAGATGTTATTCTGTTATTTTAAGCTGAGCATAAGTGTGCTTTCTTCTCTTACGTTGATTATTGGTGATCTGGTTATAATGTGAGTGTGGTTATTTTTTATTAATTAGTCAATGAATCAGAAATTCTGGTTCTGAAAGAGTCTGAAAATGCAAGGTTTCAATGCAGGATAATTTTATAGGTTAATGGATATTATTTACAACTTACGGTGGTGATAAAAATGGTTGAATTATTTTGCGCATGGAATCATTTAATATGTATGCTTTCATAATCTAGTTTTAGTCATTCAGAGACTGCATATATACTTCTGATCTTGCTAATGCATGTGAATATAAAGTAAGATAAATAATTTTTGAGTATTAAAAAAAAGTAGAATTTACCTTCATTGATTGAACTGGTTGTTTATAGCAAAAAGCAACTATTTCTTAGCTGTTGGATATTTATTGTGTATAAATTATATCAAGGGATTAAAAGGGTCTGTAATTCAGAAAAGTTTAAAATAGAATTTGAGATAATCCAACACCATTAAAATATATTAATGAAGCATTTATTCAACAGACATTTATTGACACCTAGAAGTTTTTTATTAACCGTGTTAGCCAGAGGTGTTTTTCAAATGCCAACACTAGAAATGAGGTAGAGAACAGTGAGCTAATTGCAACATTTTGAGAAGCAGGTAGGTAATTACCTTTCTAGAAAAGCAATGCAGTAGTTTTATGTTGATGGAGGGAAACACCTCTATTTATTGGGAGTTCCCAATAAATGTCATTCCAGACGAAGCGTCAAGAGCAGCCTGGGACAAATCATGGGAAAGGCAGGCACGCCTTGAAAATGAGGAGGAGGTTCACATTTGGTATCTGTTCTCGAACTCTTTTAGAAGCTGTTGCTACACTTCAAAACCTGACAGCTCCTGGGCAAACTGTGTGGATATTTCAAAGATTCCAGGTAGCACTGGCAGAAGGGTAATTGTATCCTGTGGAGCTTGTGAGAGGAGGTTGGGAGGATTATTAGAGTTTATTAACCATCCTAAGGAATTTCCTATATACCTTTCTCAGGAACTCTGAATTTTGCCATTTACTCCTTGCTGACCCCTTTAACCTTCAGCCTTTTCTTCCTTCCAATTAATTTTTAAATGTTTCTACAAGAAATCATATTACCAAGCTTCTACTTTGACTAAAATATTGAAATGACTACTCAATACACTGGAGATTTGACCCTAGGCATCTTTTTTTTCCCAACCAATTTTCATTACTTGCTTGTAATTTCTACTCTTGTCAAGTGGACAGGGCATGCCTTTTCTCTGCATAGCTACTTACCCCCTTTTGCCTGGGAAGTCATTCATGCATTCCACACAGATTTATGGCCCCCAACTTCTGGACTGTGCCGGGTATTATTGTTTCGACAAAAATGATTTTTATTCCATCAGTCCCCAAAAGGATTTCATAGCATGAAGAGGACATAGGCACATAGGTGTAATTACAATACAAAAAAAGGAGTGCCATCATGCAGGTGTGATGAACAAAGGCAGGTGAGGGATCTCCAGAAGGTGTTGCAGGAAAGGTGGTGCTTGAACACTGTTGCAAAAGAGGAGCATATATTTTTCATATAAAAAAATGGGGGAAATAGCAAAAAAGCATGAAAGCATGATTTGGGAAATGGCAAATAACAGTAGAGTTAGGGAGATTGCAGTGAGAAATGAAGCATGAGGAAGTGAATAAGCAAAACATATTTAGGCACATTTTTGAATAGAAATAAATCTGAAGATTCTCTCCAAGGGGGTACAATGAGTTGATCTATAAAGAAAATTCCCAATTCAAACTAAATAAATGGAGCATTAAGAAAAAAACACCTTTCTGAGCTCAATAACAAGAAATGAAATCTTTAGTGCTATGGATGAATGGGACCCCCCCAGTGGTGAGTGGGACTTGAAGCCCCATAATGTACGGAGTTTCATAATGTTGAAGTTGGGACCTAAGTCATTTGTATGTCAAGGAAGCATAAAATGGGCTCCAGTATAAACTCGGGAGAAATTCCATTTGTCAACTGTAAGGTAAAATATATAAGTATTTCATAGATGGTACTATGTAGTGTTGTTATAGTTAGTGCTTTCTAAATTGTCTTTATTTTTAGATTTTATTTCCTCTTTAATCCACCATTTGTTTAGAAAGAGAGCTGATGTGCTGCTGGGTGAGACTTCCTGTCGGGTATAATGAGAACTTTTCTTCTGGGTGCAGGGATCTTCTTCCTTTTCTATGGCTGCCATAACAGGGACACTGGTTTCCAGCCACAGAACTCTCCTTGACAGTCTTTGGTGTCAGAAGTCTCACTTTAGGAAACTGAATGGGACCTGAGCTCTGAGAGCGGGTATGGGTATGGTCAGGACAGTCTCATCCTTTCATTGTATCCACAGAATACAACTATCCTTCTTCTACATGCACCTTTTGGAATGTCCACACAGTTTGCTGGCAGACTCCCTGACGCCCTATCTTTTGTCTGTGTGGCTTTTTTCGTCAGTTTGTCCCCACTCACTTTATTTCTTATATTTCTGACAAATTCTTCACTGTTTTTTTGTCACCTTCGCTCCCTCTACTCCCATCTTCCTTAGGTTTCTAGTGCTATTTGGAATTTATGTTCACATTTATTCTGTGACTTTACTGGAATTTTCCAAGGGGAGGGAGGTAAATATGTATTTAGTCAATGACCAGCTATGTTATCTATTCTCTACTTCGTATCTCTAACCCCTTTGAAACCCATGGAAACTGTATTATTTAAAAAGGTCCTTCCTTAGCCACTGACAAAAAATAAAATTGCTTTAATAACTGGAAGGGTATTTGCTACACTTATTTGGTATTTAGAATGGCACCATTCCTTCTGGGGTAATCTCTGGAATGCCATTTTGTCCCTTTGTCTTGAAGGTTCTATCTGCTGCAATGTAGATGTCACAGGTTACATGCCTGTCATCTTAGTGAGGTACTTCAGAATGGCATTACTGACCATGACTTACAAGTCATGATCAATTTAGCAAAGGTAGGGCATTCGTGGTAGACTATGAGATAGCTTCGGTTTTTATGGCTGTGTAATGTGATGTTTATGTACCTGTTTTTCAAAGCCTAGAACAAAAAAATAGATTCAAAGATGCTATTTAGAGAGCCGTATAAATGATTCCTGGAATCCAGGAACCTGATAAATCTGATTCAAACCTGAGAAAAACAAATTTCAGCAGAGCAGAGTTAAAGTGGCCTGCGGCAGCAAAGGAGGAGGCTACATTTGAAAAGAGACCGCCTTCCCCTGAGAACAGGTCAGGAGTTCATGTTTCCCAGGGACCAGATAAGGAATCTGTAGGAGAAGTGTCTGTGTAGGGCTATATAAAAATGGACCCGTGCCCAAGAGGGCTTCCTGCAAAGACTGAAGGGACCTCAGCCAACACAGGCTTCAGTGTTCTATTCAGATGCAGCGCTGTGAGAGAGCCATGAGCAGCAAGCCCAGGGAGAGATGCTGTCCACACTACATGCTCCACAGGCACATGCAGGAGAGAGCTTCCGACATCTGCCAGCAACAGAGGAAATCAACACCAGATGACACTGGTTTCCTGCACCATATCTCTCCCACCACTGGGTGTGCCACTGGCTATCCACCAAGTGGAGTTAGAGAAATGGAATTTCTAGGCAAGGAAATGGAGCAGTCAATTGTTCCCATTCCTTCCACTGTAAGCTTCCAACCTAAGGTGGGGACATGGGGAGATGCTTGAAGTCTAAATGCAGTACCGAGCCTGAAATTAGTATCTGTTACCTGTTAGGCCCTCTGTTGAAGCAAGATCTCCTAGCAATTAAAATATCCAGAGAGAGTCTTAATAAACACTTTTAAAGAATGTCCAGAAAATCCATGGGATCTGTCTGGAATTTCCTCAAGGAAAGAAAAAGAAATACAAGTTCCTCATGAGAGCACTTTTCTTGTTTTCTCAGTATTATACTTGTTCAAAGAAGCATTATTACAGAGACAAATTCTACCCACCCTTCTTGGGGCTAGCTTGCAACATTGCTGGGGACCAGTTCAGATTGCTTTCTGGCCAGGGGGAGTTTTTTTAGAGTCTAGGGGATGATAAACCAGGAACTGAGACTCTCAGTCCTGCCATGCCCTTTGTCACAGCTCTGAATTTGGTGCTTTATCATTTTCATTAGTTCAGGGAGTTGAGCTATTTGTCATTTTTTTAGCATTAAAACATAGGTATGAAGGTAGAAAATGAAGATCTCTATCTATTTCTATACTTTTTAAAGTGAGTCTCTTGGGCTATCAGCATCTGTGTGACCTGGGAATTTATTATGAATGCAAATTCTCATATTTATTTCATAAGAAAATCTGGGGCTGAGAGCCACCATCCTGCATTTTCCTTTTTTTTTTTTTTTTTTTTTTGAGGTGGAGTCTCACTCTGTTGCCCAGGCTAGAGTGCAGTGGCATAAACTCAGCTCACTGCAGCCTCTGACTCCCAGGTTCAAGCTATTCTCCTGCCTCAGCATCCTGAGTAGCTGGGATTACAGGTATATGCCACTATGCCCGGCTAATTTTTGTATTTTTAGTAGAGACGGGGTTTCACCATATTGTTCAGGCTTGTCTCAAACTCCTGACCTCGTGGTCCTCCTGCCTTGGCCTCCCAAAGTGCTGGAATTACAGGCGAGCGCCACCATGCTAGCCCATCCTGCCTTTTAATAGACCCACCAGATGATTCTGATACTTGCTAAAGTTTGAACACCACAGATGATCCCCAGTACCTCATTTTGTGAAACTATATTACAAATTCAGTATTTTAAAATGATTTTTGTACTTTTTACTGGGGGATACTGCTTGGCACAGTACACAGCTCTGTTCCATATGATTCTGTTCTCATTTTAGATGATGTTGTTAAAACACTCACTTGGCTTCCTTGAGAAAGAAAGAAATTACTTCTTTAATGATTATTTAGATTCAGGGGCTACATGTACAGGTTTGTTACATGAATGCATTGCATAGTGCTGGGATTTGGGCTTCTATTGGACCCATCACCAAAGTCGTGACTATAGTACCCAACAGGTAGTTTTTCCATCCTTACACCCCTTCTTCCCTCTCCCCTTTCAGCACCTCCAGGATCTGTTGTTTCCATCTTTATGTCCATGTATACCCATTGTTTTAGCTCCTACTTACAAGTAAGAACATGTGCTATTTGATTTTCTGTCTCTGCATTAATTCACTTAGGATAATGGCCTCCAGTTGCATCCATATTGCTGCAAAGGACATCATTTCATTGTTTTTATGGCTGCGTAGTGTTCCATGGTATATATGTAACACATTTTCTTTACCCAATCCACTGTTTCTGGGGTCTTAGACTGATTCTATGACTTTGCTATTGTGAATAATGTTGAGTATATAATTCTGAAACGTAGTGCTTAAGCAGAGGTGAATCTCTGTCAATCTGAATTCCAGCCGAGGTATTTTCGAGTGAATAAGCTGGAGCCCTGACATCAGAAAGGTCTGGTTTTGAGTCCTGTTTTCACCACCTCCTGGTTGTATGATCTTCAGTCCACCCTTTCTGATTTCTAAGCCTCAGTTTCATAAATTTTGACACTGGGATAATGAGAAAAGTGCTAACCTTATAGGACTCTTGAAAGGATTAAACACTATACTGCATGGTAATGTAAGCAAAGCACTTAATTCAGTGTTTGGCACATAATAACACTTTTAATAGATGGTGACTGCTACTGTTGTAACAGGATATTTACCTCACAGCTTGGGCTAGGTCTCATGTGTCTTGGTCTATTTCCAGAAAAAAGAAAAGTTTGCCACAGTTCTGCCATAATCTAAGAAGTCTAGGAATCTAGTAGTTTATTTCTCTCCAAGACCACAACTATCCCAGACTTTTCTAGAACTCATGAGAATCTTCATTCAGATGTTGATCCAGTATATTCTTTAATTTTTCATTATTTTGTAATTGAGTGAAAACCAGACTCAGTGAGATGTCTGAAGCATGGGAACTGGGCAACCTTCTTGCCCTTCCCAGCAGCTGTGAGTGTTAGAATGGCAGTGTCCCATGGTAGGTTTTGGAGACAGACCATCTCTAAAGATCTAGAGTTTTCTGCACCAGATCAACAACTTCTCAAACAATAATTATTAATGCACATCTTAGTTTCTCAGTCCTAAAGCATGTCAATTTGAGTTCTTAGGGGGTTTTCTTCTAGAATTACAAGTATCTATTACATTCTATTTGGGTTAGTAAAGGGACTACTTAGGTGATTTTCTCAAGGCAAAGGGAATATTCATTTTTACCACATTTTGTGAGAAAAAAAATGTCCAGCTTTGAAATGAGTCTTTCTCTCAGTCCCATCAGGGAAAAAATATAGCATGCTAGTATAACAGAGTAATTCAGAACGACGGCTTGAAAAGACTTGTGATCAAATCCAAGCTGTGCTTCTTGTAACTTATGTGATGAGGGGAATACTATGACCCTCTACACCTCCCTTGCATTAGTTACAGAATGAAGAGAGTGCAAAGGGCATTCCCTTCATAGTGTTGTTGTGAGGGTCACAGGAGAAATTAGAGGTAAAGCATTTAACCCGGTGTTTGGTAAATGGAAACACTCCAGAACTGTAATTGTTGTATTGTGTCTTTTAAGAAGCAGACACCAAGACAGAATCAGATATGCATAAAAGTAATTGAGGGATATGTCCGTGAAGGACGAAGGGGAGGAAACAGGTGAAGAAAGCCCAGAGAGCCTTCAGACCTCAGTGCTGATCTAGACCCTGAGAAAGGAGTAGGGGCAGAAGGATTGAGCGGCGAAACTCTCAGACTGCAGCACAGTTCTAAGAAACCTTTGGCTAGGCTAATGGGCAGTCTTAAAGCCAAAGCTGTCCTTCAGAGAGGTGCTTCATTCCACAGGAATGGGCCAAGACTCACACTGCAGTGTTTAGTTATTGCCAGGAGCAGCCAGGAGAAGGATGGCCTTTGCACAAACGTGCTGGAGGATCCAAAGGAGTGGCAGCTGGGGTCATAGGTAAACTCTGCTTCCCACAGGATGAGAACTGAGCAGATTCTGTGATTGGCCATCTAACTTGTTTTCACTGTTGTGTAGGATAAGGTAGAGTTGCTTCAAATAATTGTGCAGACTAAGCCCTGCACAAGAGTAGTGGTCAAGGAGGAGAAAGAGTCCTGAAACTCAATTACTGCTCCAGTTGTTAAGCTGTGCATCTTGGAGGACACACAGTGGTCTAATTGATACAAAGGTGCAACTGACCAGGGCTGAACAAGGCACCTTATGCTACATAAAAACATAGAGCCTTTAAGGAAAACAGTATATACATGTGCATGTACATACATGAGCCCAGAATAGTGAGTAGGAGGGGGAACTCCAGTAAGAATCCGCTGGGAACTGACACTGTAAACTAGCAGGACCATTAACATAGTGTTAATTCACTCTGGAGGAAAAGGAGGATCTGGAGAATCCCTTATGACCAAAAGTGTGAGTTTTGGTAATTAATCATTTGAATATAGAGTGTCTTTTCTATTGAAAGCAGTCAAACTCATCACCTAGTGAGAAAGGTGAAGTTCTAAAGACTTCATTTATCTCAGTTCTTTTGTACTCAGCAGTGTCTGTACAAATTGCCTATAAAGTGAAGCGCATGGGGGAAAAGGCACAGAGAAGGTTTCGAAGGAAAGCTTTGTTTTAACTCTAGGCATGATTCTCCATTTATTATCAGAGGGAATTTTATCAAATATTCCTGTGCTGGAAACAATGATTAAAAGCATCTTTTCATTTGATTCTAAAATACCAAAAAGTGTAAGCTGTTCAAAAATAAAATGACTAGTGCCAGGCTGCCCAACCCTTACAAAATGAATAGCCCAGAGTGTGGCAGCATAATACTGGGTACCCAGTGGGGTTTTGTGTGTCACAGGCAACTAGAGCAGGTTGGTCTGTGATCTCTTCACACCATGGTTATGAATTAGTTAACAGTCTACATAGTGTTCATGTGCTGCTGCTAAGATTCCAGGTATTTTAAATCTAAATAAAGGCACTTTGCTTATCCTGTGTAAATGGAACTTACAAACAGAACTGCAATTTCATTTAATAGCCATAAACCATTACTCTAATGGTTTGACAAATACCTATGAGGATAGACTGCAATATTTCATCCAAGAAAGTACTGAATATTAAATAAATGTAACCTCCCAATGGGTTCTACTTTAACCCCCTACTAATTTTGGAGGGTGGATTTAAAAGCTGAGAGCGTTTTAGAGTAAATGTTAGGGATATATGCAGCAGGTTCTGTAGTACAGATTAGCACTTTATCCCAGTAATCACAAATCCTTTTTTCATCTTCCATTATCACTTCAGTCTCATCATTGTAAAGTGCAGAACTTCACTCAGAAGTTGGGAATACCATTGCTTCACATCTGACATCCTGCTGAGGGATTTCAGCAATTAACTAATTTTTCTGTTCTCTGCTTATGATTATTACTTTTTTGAAAAAAAAAAAAAAAAACAAACACTAAACACTTAATGATCTAATTTAGGTTGACACCAATGAAGTCAAAAGTGCAGACCTGAATAAAATGAGAAAATCAATCAATCACCTTTCTATAGTTACAGACTATGTCCAAGGCACCATCTCTAGATTCAAAGGATAGTGTCATCAAAGGGACTTTCAAATAAGAGAGTTTGTAAGTTAGAAAATTTGAATATGTCTAAAACAAAAAAAAAATGGTTTTTATAATTATCTTCTTTAATTAAAGATACTTTTGATGTTGGCTGATTATAGAGAGGGAAGAAATAGGACAATGCCCCAAGGACAGATGTGTTTAAGGAAAAATTTGATACAAAAATGGACAGTTTTCATGCTGAGTATAATAAAAATTTAGTTTCACTTGATTCATAAACTTTTCTTTCCTGAAGACATATCACTTATATGCAGCACAGATGAACATTTATTCTGATGATTGGGGAGAAAAGCTACAAGGGGAGCCCACAAAATTGATCTTGTTGGTAATAACCCAAACAAGATAACAACAGCTACAAACCCTTTAATTATAAGTTGCTTTAAAAAATCTGAAACTGCTTTTAATAGTTGCTTTCATTCTGCAGTTTTGTTTTGTACTTGACGAGAGAAAACGTGCTGAAAGCTTCTGATTACCCAATAGCAATTACCAGAAAACCAATCAAAAGGCAATTTGGATTTTTAGAAAAGTGTGACTTATCAATTTATCCAATCGAGTTTTTCTTTTTCTTTCTTTTAGCTAATTGGATGGTGATTTTTGAAAAAAAAA